GGCTTGCGCCTCGCTGTTGAAAGCGTGAAAAGCACATACAGCATGACAGATGCTTGCACCTCTGCGTTTGACATGTACGCATAGCTAGTCTCACCCAAAAAAGAACACATCTGTGTGTTTTCCCTATGCCTCGCCTCAAGTCGGGCCTCGTTTACGCCTTTGAAAACCTTGCTCCTACATATTTCCGAATATACTCATTCCTAACTCTGTCTTTTCTAGTGTTGTCATACATCTACCTTAGTATTTTCATCTCAGCAACACTCATCTTATCTACTTGTTGCTTCTTAGTTGCCCAACATTTCCTCCCATACAACATCACTAATCTAATAGCCGTTTTATAAAACTTTCCTTTTAGTCTAGTGGGTACTCTTTTATTGCATAGTACCCTAGATGCACTTTTCCACTTAAGCCACCCGTCTTAATTCTATCAACCACATTCGCTCCAATCTCTCCAGCCATTGTGATAATCGATCCTAAATAACGAAAATGTTCACTGTTAGGTAGTTCTTGATTCTCGATCTTCACTTCTCCTCTACTTCCATCGTTAGTGTTACTAAAATTATATTCTGTGTACTCTGTCTTAGTTCTGCTTATCCTATATCCTTTAGATTCAAGTACTTCTCTCTTAGTCTCAAATTTAGTGTTAACTCCTTCTCTAGTCTCATCCACTAATCTGATATCATCTTCCAAAAACATACACCAGGGCACGTTATCTTGAATATTTCTCATCAACTCATCCATAACTAAAGCAAAAGGATAAATATTTAAGATTAATTCTTGGTATAATCCCATAGTAATTGAAAATTCACTTGGTTCCAAGAAGGTGATCTAATAGTGGTTACCATACCTTCATACATGTCCCTAATCATATCAATGTAACATTTTGTCACCCATTTCTTCTTTAACACCCATCAGATTATATTTCGAGATACTCTATCATATACTTGCTCAAGATCGATAAAAATAATATGAATGTCTCTCTCTCTCACACACTCTCTTTTTCTTTTTCTTTTTTTTCTCTCTGTCTATACTTTTCTATTACTCTCCTCAAAAGATAGATCGCTTTCGTTGTTGACCTATCAGGCATAAATCCAAATTGATTCTCTGACACCTCTGTTATATCTCGCAATCGATGTTTCGTTACTCTCTTCCATACTTTCATTATATGACATATCAGTTTGATTCCTACATAGTTGTTGCAATTTTGGACATCTTATTTATTCTTTTAGATTGACACTAAAATACTCTTCTCCCACTCCTCTGGCATTTTTCTAGTCAACAAATCTTACTAAATAACCTAGTCAACCAAGCAACTCCTTTTTTACCCAAACATTTCCAAACTTCAATAAGCATATCATCGGGTTCTAAAGCTTTATTTGATTTCATCTTCTTAAGTGCAATCTCCACTTCAAAGTTCCTAATCCTGCGATAGAACCTATAGTCTTGATTTTTCTTATTACTGGCTACTTCTTCCCTTTTTGACCTTCCTTCATGTTCTTTATTTAACAACTTCTCAAAATAGTTCTTCTATCTCGTCTTAATCTCTTCATCCTTCACCAATACTTTAGAGTGCTTACCTTTTTTTCGTCTGTACTATTGTTTGAACCTCCTCCCTCCACCATCAAGTTTCCTTAGAGTTGGGCCACTTTCCTTTCGACTCTCCAAGGACTTCCTTTGAGATTCTCTCATACAATTGGCCATCAAGTTCCACATAGTGTTAGTATCATTTTTCAAGTCCTAAGTACCTTTTTTATCCATTTTATTCTTAAATATTTCTAGTTTATCCCCTTTTAGGTCCCACCATCTCGTCTACGACGCCTATTATCCTTCCTAGTTTGGTATGGCCCTTTAAAGCTTACATCTAGTACCCAAATCTTATGTTGAGACATTAGGCTCTTTCCAGGAATTGCCTTACAGTTATTGCATTTTAGACAGTCCACTTTTCCTACTAGAAAGTAATCTATTTGACTTCTAATTGACCCATTCTTAAAGATTATCAAGTGCTCATCTCTCTTCTTATACATAGTATTGGCCACTACCGGGTCAGAAACCAATGCAAAATCTAAAATATTCTCTCCAATTTCATTTCTATCCCCAAAACCATAACCACCAAGCACCCTCTCATAACCTAGCTCATCTGTTCTTACATGGCCGTTGAAATCTACACCTATAACTAGGGTCTCCCCTACGGGTATCTACTGTAATACCTCATCCATTTGGTTCCAAAAAATGTCTCTTAGTCTAATAATCTAATCCTCCATGGGGGCGTATGCACAAATAACGTTCACTATATTATCTCCAATAACTAATTTAACTAACATAATCTTATCACCTTTCCTAATGACTGCAACTACATTTTTTACGAGACCTTTGGCAACTATTATTCTTACCCCATTCATGTGTCTATCCTTGCCACTATAATATAGTTTAAAGCTAGTATCCTTTATTTCCCTAACTCTCTCACTTGTTCACTTGTAACCAAGCTATACTAACTCTCCTCCTAATCATGACATCTACCAATTCCATAGTCTTACTAGTTAAAGTTCTTACATTCTATGGGGCTACCCTAAACATATAGTCTTTGACTAGCTTCTTTATCTGCGCTCGTTCAGAAAAAACGTGGAAACCTTTGCCTATTTTCACTGCACCCAGGCGTCGATCTTGCTCACTTTTCGAAACACCTGGAGGCAGGCGCAACGCGTCACTTATGGGGAATGACCTAGCATTTAATCGATTCAAAGTAGGATTTATTTTTATAAGGGATCTGAATGGTTTTTTTACTTGTTGGCTATCGGCTACCTAACACACAACCTTCCTCCTTTACCCGGGCTTGAGACCGACGGAGTTGGGTTTTAATTTTATCATATTAAAAAAAAAAGAGACTAAATGATGTATATTTTATACATATAAATATATTTAGTAAATATAAATGGGGCGGGGGAGAAAAATCCATTCCCACTCCACTTTCTAATCGGGGTAGAGAAAACCCATGTGAGGCAGGGGAAAATGGTGAATCCCATGAGCCTCATTTTTGCTATTGTCAATGAATTTTTGATGATGTTCAAATAATTTGTCAAAAAATTTGTCCAAAAAAAAAAAAAAAAAATTGATGCATTAAGGTTTAGGTTTTGTGTGATTTGGGTTTTTGCCAGTTACTGTTGGGTGTTTTGGTTTGTTAACGGAAACAAATATCTATTCAGCAAATTTGAGAGGGAAGAATTATAGTTTTGTAGTTAGATAGTAATATTAGCATCATTTTACAAAATCTCACCTTCATAAAAATTGAAAATGTAAGTTAAATAGGTGCACATTGTAAGTTTATTTGTTTGAGCTGTTACTGCTTATTAGATGCATTGTTATTGGTTTATCTTTGTCAAATTCTTACGGTGTTAGTTAGTATTTTTCTCCAGTTGTTTCCCTGTGTCTTTATGAATTGGTTAAGCCTCATTTTGCACTTTGAAAATCAGTAATGTATATATATGTGGTTCATATTATTCTAACATGTGACTCACCATATGGCTGCCTCTATGCGGTGTTGGGTGAATGGCTCTTTGATCGAGAAAAGCATGGGTTTTTAAGGATCTCACCAAAAAATTTTGGTTCCTGATAACATCCTTCATGTTTTGTGCTGATTCTTTGTTCATTTATGAAATATTTTGTTTCTTTATATATGGCATTTGTTCTTATTTGAAATAAAGTTGTTAGCTTTATGTTGTCTGATCATCATGAACATCTAGATGTAAGTTGCCTCTGATGCAAATTTCTGTTGTTCAGTGTTTTTCCGCAAAGTTTTGGTGATTAAATATATGGAAATTTGACAAGAGGTAAGTTGCATCTGATGCAAATTTCTGTTGTTCAGTATCATTAAATATATGAAAAAGCGATGAGAAGTTGAAAAAGAATATCTGATCGTGCATATTAGAGGAATTCATCTTTTATAGTTGTGCATTACACTCCTTTATAGATTTATAATTATTTTATTTTATTTGAATTGGATTGTGTGATGCACAACTATAATATCATCTTTTATAGCTTTTGTTTGTCTGAAAGTGCGATCTGTTTTGATGCTCATTGGTTAATTGTACCAAATTCTAAAATTGTCTTTTGGCATAAAGAAACTGTTCTATTTTTGGACATGCGTGGAGTTTTGAAACTTTACCCAAGTGATTACGCTTATTATTTTTGTAAATTTTGAGATGGCTATGAGACCTTCATGCTATTTGGTACACTATATTTGGACAAAACCTATGAACACCTACTGTTGAATGATCGTAGTTGGAATTAAGATGTGGAGATAGGTGAGTTTCAATGCTAGAAAGGTAAATTAGGAATGAGTGCTTGTTTGAGGATGTAGAGGTCACATCTAGAGGGGATAATGGTAGAGATTATATACTGAGGGGATTCACTCATTCATGAAAGCCAATTACCACATCTAGAGGTGATAATGGTTGAAAAAGAACACAGTTTTCTCAAAAGTTTTGGAACGATATAGTGATAGAAGTCTTGATGCTTTGTGATGATAGCTGGACTGTTCTTGATAGTAGAATGTTGGAACATGTGTAGCCGACCTTGGATGTGGAATAACCATAGTTAGATTGAGTAGGTTCACATGTCTTTCTTTGACTTGTAATAGATGTAGTTACAGTTGAAGGAATAACCATTGCGATTCTCAAGTTATCATAGATGCAGTTGTTGATTCAATCTGATGGTTTGGAGATTGCATTCTGGATGAACTTCTGCACTGTTATTGCTTGGTAAAATGTGTTGAGAAGACAGATAGCAGATGGGAGTTTATTAAGTTTAAGTAGCTTGAACTAGTTTCCAAACCCGTGCCACAAAATCCATCCAACAACTAACCCTCTAGAAAATAAACAACAGATCATAGGAACTTTTATGCTCTGAAATTTATGATACAATATGTTTTACTACTTTGTTTTTAGCTTGCTAGGACCCTAACTGTGTCTGACCATTTTGTGGTTCTAATTTCTGAAACCATGCAGCAAGAAAAGGAAAAGGCCATGGTTAATGAAATGGTGGCAAAGCTTACAAGTGCGTGCTGGGATAAATGCATCACTAGTACTCCTGGAAACAAGTTCAGCTCCAGTGAATCGTCTTGCCTTTCGAACTGTGCTCAGCGCTATATGGATATGAGTCTCATCATCATGAAACGTTTTCAGTCCATGAATTCCATGCACTGAGGACAACAAAACATTGGTATCTCTTATATTGTTCCAGTTTTTGGAGTTGTAGTTTTCAATTTAGTCATGAGTTAATTTTCAGTTGAAAATGTATTGTACTTGTGGTAATACTGAAAGCCCTTTATTTTAATAATTTATTTTTAGTACTCCAAAAGACGAGTTCTCATAAAAGTCCTTATTGTGGGGAACGAAACATGCTTTTGTACCAAGAATTCTATATGTAGCAATATCCCAAAATTTAAGTCTTTCCGTTCTCAATGTACTTCCAATTAGCATGATGTGGTGAAAATTTTGAAATCGGAGAATCTCGCTGCATGGCATTGGGACATTGGGGTCACAGTTAGACACTAATATAGTGTTTAGTTCATTGAAACAAAATGGATCGGACATACTTGTGGTGTATTCATCCTGTGGAACTCAAACAGTAAAAGGCAATTGTGAAGGGGAATTACAATCTCAATCTTTTGCTCTCTGACTGATCTCGAATGGCTTCAATCTTCATCTGCTAAAGTGGTATAAAACCAACCAAACACAACTTTTGGATTGAATTCATCAGAACCCACAGGTTTGAAGAGCAGAGAAAGACCAACTGGTACAGTTTCATGTTCATATTCAAGTTCTTCACTCAATGGAACACTATATTCCAGTATCCACATGCATGAAGTGGATAAACAAACAAAAAAGAAAAAGAAAACAACTCACTGGACACACCTGCAGCTCTATGGCGGGCAGATCTAGACATCCTTGGTGATCTGACTGCATTGGAGGCTTCTGTGAAATTGAAATTTCTCAATACCCTTCTTGATGGCAAGAATATCTTAACACAGAATGATAATGCAGTTCTATATTCTTAAATGAACCACTTTTATGTTCACTTAACTATTTTTTCCCATCATTGGCTCTTCAAAGATAATAGCATTCCAATACTAATCACTAGCATTGGTCTAGAGCATCGCATTGAGAGATTTTAATTTCATATTTTTGGCCATTATTCTTGATTGAAATTAAAAACACAAAAATTATATGTAAAAGCTTTCCCTAAGATGCTCAGGTTCAGATAAATTCTTTTCCCCTAAATGAGTATTTCAAACCAAAGAAAGAGGATATACAATCTCTTAGGGTCTAACATGCACAAACACGAAGGCCGCTGGTTCCAAGATGTGGCAACCAAAAGACAAGAATGACCTAAACTATAAAAAAATGAACTCTTACAATCTGAGATTCTTACTAAAAAAAGAATCGACAATGCTACGTAACTCAAATTTTGTGGCTCAAATGGCCAAAACGACGTCGTTTTGAGTACAAAACAACATAAAAACGGCCAAAACGACGTCGTTTTGGCCATTTGAGCCACTTTTGAGCCACAAAATTTGAACTACGAGTCATTTTTCAAAAAGAATATAAGAGTCCTCTCGCAATCCAAGATAGATTGACTAAATAATCTTACTAGCTCATTGCTCGGAGAAATTAAGATTGTTACATGAGAATTACTGACTACGACTGTCTCATTCGTCATGTTTGAATAAGCTTTTCCTCAAATTGACTTTGTGGGTGTTTGGAAAGTTGCTATTTTAGTTGATTATTTTAGTTTTTTGCTATTTTAGTAGGCTAAAATTTTTATATTTGGGAAGATAGTTGAATTTTTTTATAGTTAGACGTGATATTTGTAAGAAAAAAAGTGAAATAATTATGAGATTAATGTGATATTTTATTTTATTAACTATTTTAATCAATTTTATTATTTTGTAAATTTTAATCCAAAAAATCAAAAAAAGCCTTTGACAAATACCATCGTTATGTTGTTAATTTGTCTTTTAGTTTCTTTTTATACTTGTCGCCTGACGTTGAAAACTGTTGTTAATTTGTCTTTTAGTTTCTTTTTATACTCGTCACCTGACGTTGAAAACTTCCAATCTTGTCGTCACATTCAATTATGGAAATAGTTAAAGCACACCAGACATGTTTGTGCTAGTGGAAAGAGTAATTTTAATTAAAGCCACTATTCAAGGCTTTTTGAGCAATAATTCTCTGTCGACATCCTTTTTAGTTGGGACTTCGGCCCAATCATTCGTCAGAGCTATGCTAGTCACTCTTCTTTATTTTTTCTTTATTTTTTTATCCCCTCTCAATTCTTGTCTGATTGCATATGTATGTTGCAGCAAGAAAAAGACAAATATTTTGAGAATGACAAGAATACACGCCTTGAGCCTTCTAGGTCTCCAAAGGGTTTCCACTGCAATCTCAGAGGGTCTCCAGTCTAATTTAAACTAAAAAAATACAAGAATGTCATAACAAGCTTGGATTTCAACACAAGCCATAGCATAGGAGACCTTTTTTCTTGATAGAGTGGCGCCGCATCCATTTAGAGAGGTTTTCCAGTGGTGCTAGCCACAAAGCTCGAACTTTCCATCATAAAAATTAATCAACAGAATCATGTTAAATTTGGTGTCATGATGATAATTTTATGGCTCTGTATTTGTTTTTGTTTTTGTTTTTGTCCTATATTTATTTTCTTGTGGTAATAGCAGAAACTCAACAAACTAGAGAATTATAGAGAATTAAGAGGGTTTCTACCAAAGTGAGAAGAACCATTATTGAGAATTTTGTCCAAAGTGTGGTCTTCTTGAGAAAAAGATTATACAACAAATCCCCTCCCCCCCCCCCCCCCAACCCAGCCAAAAAAAAAAAAAAAAAAAAAGCTCTCGTTATTAATTTTCTTTTGATATTTTTTCCATTCAAAATTCTATTTAATTATCATTTCTACAATTATTTTTGCTTCTTATCCATTATTGTCACGACCCAAACTTGATACCCAAAGGTTCAGCGTCGCAATAAGACAATAACTAAAGTCGTAACAAATTAATTGTGCAACAGAATAAAATAGAAGGGTACCCAAATCTTCATTTAAAAAAAAAAAGAAATTTACATTGGAAGTTCTATTCAATTTCATTGCCAGAACTCGATTATGATTACAAAGTACCTTATGCCTACCTCACGCATTGGTCTTGACACGTCGCCTCAAAGTGGTTAATAACTATAAACACGTGGCAGAATAAGTAATATTATACTGAGAGCATAAGAGTATAAAAATCACCATGAATAATTATTTAGATTAAACAGAGTTTAGTTTGATTGGGATAAATAAATTGTTTTAAATAACAAACATATAATGCAAAGATTATATAAGTAAAATAATCATAATTACGATACAGAACAGAATAGAAAGTTAATGGATATTTAAGTCCTCAGACATGGAACCTTCAGAGGGCTAGATATTTAAATCCATAGTGACCTTCAGAGGGTCACAAAGGTGACAATAAAACAGAACAGAGAGTCAATGGATTCATGACAAATAGAGAGTCATTTAAAGTGACAATTCATAATAGAACAGAACAGGAGTCAGTGAATACATGACAAACAGAGGGTCACTTAAAGTGACTATTCATAGGAGTAATGGTTATTTAGATCCTCCCAAGACATGAGACCCTCCCAAGACATGAGACCCCGTGGTGGTACTTACAAAATAATTATCCAAAACACATTTAATAAACAATTTTATCCATAAGTTTTTCTTTTTAAGTAAATAGGGTTCATTTAACAAATAATATACTTTAAAAATTAATATAATTTGCAAAATATAATTTATATAAACACTCAAAATATAATAAAACTCACCACAAAATTAATTCCTAACTTTAACTTTCTCTTTTCTCTTATTGTCTGCTTTATTATTTTCTCCTCTCAGTCGATACAAACTCACCTATTCAGAGGTAATCTAGACTCACTATTCAACCCCACTATTCAACCATGTGGCTCACCACATGGCTCAACCATGTTGCATACCACATGCCTCCTCAAATTCCTTAAAAAACACATGCATATGTACAAAACACATGGTGCCACCTGCCTCCACAAATCCTTAATAACACAATGACCCCTACTTTAAAATTATATTACATTATTATCTTTTGGTAAAACATAATGACCCATAATTTCAAATTAAATTATATTTTAGTACATACAATTATAAAATTAAATATTCTTTTCCAAGTACCCATTTGTATTATAAGGTAACTAATTTAATTTAAGGTATTCAAAAATAGGATATGATAAAACCAATCCAAACCTATCGGATTGGACTTGACTGAATCGGATTACGGATTTCACGGATTACTTGCTCAGCCCTAATTATCTTTTGGTAAAACATAATGACCCATAATTTCAAATTAAATTATATTTTAGTACATACAATTATAAAATTAAATATTCTTTTCCAAGTACCCATTTGTATTATAAGGTAACTAATTTAATTTAAGGTATTCAAAAATAGATTATGATATAATTTCTGTAAAAGGTATTATTCGGGGCGTTACAATCTTCATTCCTTTTAAAATTTCATCCTTAAAATTGATTTATAAAATCTTTTTGTTTCTGCTGCGTATGCGAATACAATTATTTCTTGCTTTTTTTTTACACATTTTTAATTTTTTTTTAAATTTTTGTCTAGACTTGCATCTCAATCTTATTATTTTTAATGTCTTTCTTGGTCTTTGGTTAGATATTTAGTTTTCAATTTCGAATCTTTCACAATATTTAATTCTTTTTGTCCTAATCACAATTTTACGAATGCTTTTGTTAAATTAAGATTTTATTGTTCTTAACAATCTTTCTTCTACCAAATGGTTATTAAACTAAGTTGCCCTTTAGTTTTGGCCCTTCATTCCTTTTAGTTGTTTAAGTCATTCTTAACTAATCATGCTATTATTTCCGAATGAGCGAATCGATGTCATAATGGATTTTCATTTCAGTTGACCACTAAATAGACTATTCCATTGGCTTTTATTGTTCAACGTTTTTCAATTGTTTTAAGTCTTGATCACATTCTTCTAATTTAAGTAATCTTAGGTCGAGTTTCAAATATCCAAATAAATGTATACTAAATTTATCAATTATCGAAAAGACAAATTTAAATAAAACCATATATTCCATTTCTGGCTGAATATCCCATACATATACATATTCTCAATGATATCTCTATTTAATATTTTTTGGTTGGGTACTGACCTTTAAATTGACTAATTAACTTGAGATATCCTTAGGATTTTGGACAATCTTTGCATTGATGCCCCCATTCCTCCACATTTACAGTAAGCTGATAACACAATCCCTTATGACAGTTGTGATATGTTGAACATTTTGGCATAAACTTACTACCTTTACTTCCTTGCTAAGAATGGCTTGACTTTCTTGTTATAAATTTCT